CTACAGTGTATTTTGAAAAAATATTCTCTAAGAATGGAAAATAACCTAACTGTTCTAGAGTACACAGTGTATGCTGACTTTCCGTTGCAAATCCTTCATTTCTTTTATGCTAAATGAACTAATTGATGCATCCCAAATCAACCCGAGAGAGAAACATTTCTGTGCTTCTCGGTGTCTTTATTTTTCATTTTCCTTTTTAGAAATGTATGAATAAAAGCAGGATCTTTTACTATCTGAAGATGCTATCTATTGCAGCTGTCCCATATGAAATTATCTTCCCTGATTGGGTTGTGATAGCATTGATGATTGCTGTGGAAATTGTCATGAATAAGATTCTAACATCACATGGCAATTAGGCAGCAAACACTGATAGATTTCTAAGAATGAAAGATTCTATTACGCAAATGGCACAGTTTCTCCCGGCGAGATGTGTTTTTCCTAGAGAGTTGAAAAATACTGAAAATATGATCAGACACTTGTGTCATAGGCCTAATTTTGATGGCAGCTGACCTCTGCCTATAACTGTGAAATAAATGAGAATGACAGGAATGTAGTGACTGTTTAATGATGATTATCTTATTCTCTGATTCACACTATTTTATATGTGTTCATGCATCTTTTGCTTTTAAATTTGGGGTGAATTCAGATTACTTCCTGTCCTGCAGCATAAGTAAGTGCAGATATCAAACTTCTGAAATATCAGTTGGGTTTTTTTGAGTGGAAAACATGAAAGTGAACTGACGTCAAATAAAACTCCCTGTGTTGATTTTGTCTCTTCCTCCCTTTTTGTGCGCACACACATAGACACGCACACGTTTTTCTGTTATGTATCTGTGGGTTTATTAAATGTTTCATTTCTGGTGTATTTATAAAATAAATTTTGTATCCCTGTGGGAGGGAATTCAGGCAGTAAAAAGGAAAGCTGGCATGTTGCTATATGTCTCTTGCAATTAATAATTGTGGCTATTCTTGTATGTGTTTGAGAAAGCAGTGGGGAGGAAAGGGAGGGAGAAGGGAGGAGATTATCTTTCAGCCTGAATTAATAAAGGAGATACAGTGTGTTCTGACCTTCTCTTAGTCAATGGCAGCATCATTTAATATTTAACCACAAAGCAAAGTTGAAAGAACTGCACTCTTATACAGTCATGTATTTTATTCTTCTGAGAGATGGGATAGAAAGCAGTCTAGAGAGTTAGGGTCTTGCCAGTGTGATGCAAATAAGGTGTACCACAGTAGCAAATGTCTTCTCTTTGCTGCTAAGCCGTTTACATGAAAGCATTGCCAGGGCTTTCAATAAACGCTGTTGTGGAAAGGGCTGACACATTTGTGGAATGAAGTGCAGTCCATATCTGAGATACAAGTATCTCAACTTCTTCTTCAGTGCAGTGGCAACATAAAGCATCACACTCAATTGAACTGCACAAAATGCACGTAACTTTCCCTCTTTATTCTGCACCAGTAGCCTTCTTTCTACTGTTTTTTTTTTTTAATTTACACAGAAACAGAGCTCCGCTTTCTTCTTGTCTTCTGCTTCCATCAAAGTTTTATATTGTCATTTGTCTGCCCTACAAACTTAACTGTATATGAAGATGAAAAAACAATATTTGCTTTTAAGGTTCTCAGATACAGCACCTCACTCAGGTGGGAATTGCTAGCAGGATCGGAGCTCAACAAGTGGAGATCCCCTCAGGCAGAGCAGGGCATGGCCAGCCGGGGGGGCCAGGGTGGCCCCAGTACCGTGGAGAGGATGAATATGCTAGGCGAGATGCAGTGAGTACTGTGTTACACATTTGCATAGTTTCCGAAGTAGTGATATGTTCGGGTATTTTTTTTTTCTTGCATTACTGTTTGGAACTTTTTTCCCTTGGAATACTTTCAGTTGCTTCTCTGACATTCTTTGCTTTGCTCTTCAAACCTTCATTAGCTCTTCTAACTTTCGCTTGCTGCTCTTTCACCTTTGCTTATTTCTAACTGCTTTCTGTCACTCTACCCTAACCTTTTTTTTTTTTTTCAGTCGAGGCCTTCACTCATTAACTGCAGTTCACCCAGTGCTGCTTCTGAACTCCAGCAGAGGTGGATACTGCTTTCCATTTTTTCTTTGAAATATGCCTCTCTATTTTGAGATTATTTTAGGTAGAAAAAAAATGGATTAAATTGTCCCTGTCTACCCTCCAGTTTTGGATTAGTATAGTTCTTTTTTCTTCCGCATCAGCGCACAACAACAACCATAGAATAAGGTACATATTTATACATAGCAATAGAGGTGATTCTAAATGAGTTATTTTCCTACCTTCAGTCAGCAGGACGTGATAAATTAGTGCATATTAGTTTATGGTGTTGCCTAGGCAGCCAACCTGTTTTCACATTCTTTGCAATACCACTTCTGGAGGATGACACTTCTGATTCAACCAGATGCATGGTGAGGAGTGAAGACAGTATATGGCCTTTCTGGAAAGATATCAGTGTCTGCGACTGGTCACTGTTTGATATACTTGCATCTTAAAGCAGATGGACCTATGACTGCTTCGTTGCAGTAGTCTTGAGAGTGATACCTCTATGCCCTTTCTTTTGGCGGGCCCTTGCTCAAGTTACCATTTTTCTGGTTCCTTCCTTAAGGAAGGAAGAAGGATCTGCTTCTTTTGCCTATTTACAGCAGTATATTTACAGCCTATTTAGAGCAGTATTTTATAGTTGCTTTGCAGTATTGCATGATATTGAAATGGCTCTACAGAAAGAAAATGCAGTGGTCCTCATCTTTATATTTTGGTGGACCTGAGCTCTCTCAACTCCAACTGAAGTTGAGAAGAACAATGTAAAGGTTTTGAGAAATGGGCATAATAGAGGTAAACTTACTGATTCTATTCAAAAGCATTAACTGTCAAAGCCAAAAGATATATTTGCCTAATTTACCTCGTTATTTGTGCTTAGAAGTGTGGTATTTGAATGCAATTTTAGTTTTACATCTAGAAGAGCACTCACATGAGAGATCTTAGTGTCCCTCCTGGTCCATTTTCAGAGGCATCTCTAGGTTACTGTTCCCTGGCAGCTCTTGCCATTTGTCTTTCATTCCTGAAAGTGACTCTGCTTCTATAGACCTATGAGCCTCTCCCCACTTCCTCCTGAAAGTACATGTTGAACCATTACATTGTTAATATTTATTACTTGTATTTTTAACATATTACTGAAGATTCGATCAGAATCAGGGCCCCATTATCTGAGATGCTATGCCAACAATTGTTTTTGACAACGATTATGCATACAACTTCACACCTTTGGTTACCATTTCAGATGGGTACCTGCCACTTCACTCTGGGTTCACTTTCTTTTAATTACTGGGAGTTTAAACTCTTTGACTTTGACAGAACTTTTTCGTTGCTGCACTTGGTGTTACTGCATTGTGATTTTTTTTTTTTTCGAGTTGCTTGAAAAAAAAAGAGGTGGCAATTATAACAGGATTAAAACTATATGGAGTATGCTGTCAGTTACTTGTAACGGAACTCACCTAATGCCTACACTTTGCTTTTCCCATAAGGAATTCTGTCTTTCTTGCAAAGAATAATTTCTTTTAGTAATAATAATTTCCTTATTTCTTGCAAAGGATAATAGATTTTTAAAAAATAAAAAAAGGTCTGTTAGATAAGTCCAACCTTGTAGTTTCCTATAATCAAATAAAGTACTATTGGTGTTTAGTTTGCTTCACTAGGACAGAACTCTAAATTTGTCTTTCCTGTGTTTGGAAAGGAGGATTTACTTAATGAAAGCCATGTTCCTTACGCTACTATATTCAACTGACCTTTTGCCAACAGTCTTCCTGTATTGTTTCCCTGATTTTGTGCAAGTTTCTAAAATTAACCTTTGCAGGTAGGCAGATAGGAGCTAGAGTGCTCTTTTCACCTGTAAACTCAAGTAGGATCAGCATTTGTGTTCCTGCAGTGGCCTTTCTCCTCACAGTAATCTCACCTGTAATACCTATAGTTGGCACCGATGGATTTTCCACTGGAATTAGATGTCTCACTTGTGCTTCCTGACCCAAAGTCAGCATGCAGGTTACCGTCAATTCACATTAATTCTCTATCTAGAAGGCCTGGGCAACCAGGGTAAATTGCAACATTTCCTTACCTAACAGACAGTACAATACTGAGCAGGTGGTCACTTGAGGAGCAGAACTAATGAAGAATGGATTCGTTAGACTTACAGATGTGTACTGTCTTGCATAGCTCTACCTGTCTACTACCACCTGGCATCACCTTCTATCCATGCACAATCCCTGAAGCTCTCCACTGCAGTACTTTGTGTGTCCTTCAGGTTTCCCATGTTCCCCCAAGTCACCTATACTCTTCTATTTTACTTTTATTCCAATGCCCCCCGCCCCAAACCATCTCAACATACTGCTAGTTGTCTCTCATGTTCCCTAACGATTCCACATGAAATACATGCTGACTGACTCTGTGCTCTGAGAGGTGCAGCCGCGCACATCCTAACCTGTCTTTTCCGCTACTCAAAAGCGAATTCAATGGCAACACAAATCTGGCTATATCTAATTGGTGCCTGTTTTTTGTGAAGCCTATAATATATGTGTGTGTTTATATATACACACATGTTTTTTCTATTTATACATATCTATTTTGTGTGTGTGTATATATATGCACGCACACATATCCATACACACACACACATACATGTAAATATATATTAGAACAGTCTTTGATTTATCTCCCTGCATCAAGGTCATTTGAAATTGGCCAGAGAATTCAGCAAATAAGTGAACATGAACAAATAGACAATGTGATCTCGTAAATCTTATTTCTGTAAGAAACAATGCTAAAAACCCAAGTATTATTTTTACTCTCTACCGAAATAGAATTTATTATGAGATATGGAGGATTCTAACTGAAAGAAGGCTCAGCAAAGGTATTTTTGTCAATTATGTTATATTACCATTAATCATATGGAAGTTTTTGTATATAGAAACATAATTTAAATATATAAAATTGTATATGCTATTATATATATACATATTGTATATAAGTATATGCTTCTTTTTAAAAGAAAATGACAAAAGAAAAAGCAAAAATTCTTCCATCTTTTTTAGTGATGGACTGTCTTTATTTTGCTGTTGTAGTCCTACGTAGATGAGGTTTCTAAACTAATCTGTGTTTTTGAAAATTCTCAGACCTGTTTAATTCTGGTGTTACGTATTAGATCACAACAATACGCACTTTTATTTTTATGAGCTATTTAAGAAAGTTCAGATATCCTTAATGTTAAAAAGTAGCTACTGTAGTCAGCAGATGTTCTTTCTAGCTTCCCCTAGAATACCATTCTTGTGGTACTAAACCAGTGCTATATGAGATAGGAGTTGAGTCATACAGTGTATTCTAATGTGAAAGTAACCTGAGCGCAATTTAATTTGCTTTTAAGGCTCATGTGTGAAGGAATTATTGTTTTTAATATTTTTTTATATCATTTCTTTTCTATAAACCCACAGAGTACTTGTCAGGTTTGCTAACTCAAAACTGCACATGAGAAGTAGTTTCAGGTTTCACTGCCAAATGCAATAATTTTGAACAATCAAGAGGACTATTCATTCCTTTCTAATGCTAAAATCATCTCCCTTTTATAAGAAGTAAGATCGGATGTTACTTGGAAAATCTTCTTTACCTGTCATTCTTCGGTTAAAGCTTCTTTTCCTCTTTATCTCTCCCTCAAATTAAACGTGTAAATGATCTGTGCTATACAAGGAAGTCAGTCTGCTATTAGTTCAGTTGTGAACAAAATGGCTTAGATTTTTCATTCATATTATGAGAGACATAAAGCAGCATACTCTCCTGCATCTTTGTTTCCTGCATGCTGCTGTCGCAGTAGCTCTAGGTCCCCCTTATTTTCCCCAGGTTCTCCTCTGTTAATACCTTTATTCCCCTTTGCCCTTCTCCTGAAATCCTCTTTTAGCTGACCTTGCTTTCATTTCTTCTCTCCCCAGGTTGCCCCTCTCTTCTATTACTTAGTGCTTATCCACAGAGAAAGTGCTGACTAAACTCTGATAACTGTGATCTGAACTCTACTGCAACTAGCTGTTCTTCATACCCTAACACAGACCCTTTGAAAGGGGATTTTGCTGCTTTGCGCCGAGTCGTGCATTCAGTAGGGTGCATTCAGGCAGCCTTACATCATTTGTGTCCAGTGTTTCCTTCTGTTTGTGTCTCAGCCTTCACAGATACAAGCCAAGAAGAAACACTTACTGTAGGGATGTCAGCTGGAATTTAGGATTTCAAAACCTATCTGGGTTTGTGGCCACACTGGGAGTGGATACAGTCACCTTAGTGTAATGTAAATAGTGGTGTTCATGTTTCATTTTAGTGTAAATGGATTTTTCCATATATACGAGCCCATAAATTCAGGCTTCTGTTTTTTCTTCCTTGTTTCATGAGAGAATATATGTGACTGAACAAAAGTTGAAGTAATCCTTTTTTACCTTGAAGTAATGATTATCCCCAAATTGGGATGGATTTTCTCAAATGTGTGAAATTCAGCTGTCGAGTATGTGAAACTTAATCTTTCTTATTTGAATCATTATCTTCTGCTACTTCTTCTGTTGACCATATTTTCCTAGGTGCTGGTCAGCCACAGGGTCCTCTCAAGTGTATGGTCTGATCAGGCAAGCCAGATAGAATGAGTAGGTGAAAGTAGTATCTCTGTTCCGTAGATAGTAGGGAGAAATGACACCTGGGAAGATAGTGTTTTGCCTGCTGTCTTTTAGGAAGTTCATGGCAAGGCAAGGAAGCAAAGCCAACTCCCTTGAATAATTCCAGTTCTGTATTTTTCTCCCCAGCTCTTTCCAGTAAACATATCAGACATTAGGAGAAGGCCAGGCTTCCTGTGGATGTTCAAAGAGATTTTGAAAATCCTTGAACTTGAGGCAGTCCAGCAATTTTGTGTTGTTTTGTGCTCCATTGAGAAATCACTCATTCATACAGAAGAACAGTGGCAGCAGATAGAAACATCTCCATGCTGCTTTCCCTGTGTTCTTTGCCTTTTTGCTTTCTTGTCTTTTCTGGGATAATCATATTTGCTCAGAGTACAATAATGTTTTCTACATTTTTCCAGACGCATATGCATGGACACCAAGAATATTCCTCCTCACCAGTATTCCAGATGCCGAGGACTTCAGCCAGGCAGCCTTCGGCACCCCCTACTCAGCTTCCACACAACAGCCTTCAGGGCCAGGGGCTTTGCTACACCACCAGTTCCACTGAGGACCTCCAACCGAGCCACTCTTCAGCCTCTCTTATAAAAGCAATTAGAGAAGAACTTCTACGACTTTCTCAGAAACAGACAACAGTGCAGAACTTCCATAGTTGATTTAGCATTCTCTTGCAAATCTGCCACGTATCTGCTTCCTATGGAAGTAAAGAGTTAAAGGAAATCTGCAATGTTATTCTCTCAAGAAGAACAAACTCTCACAGCTCTGTTGACAGCACTCTGGAAAAAATAAAAAGGCAACAAAATGAAGATAGTAAGGGAGACTGGGGACAAATAGGGGAAATCATCAGTGTCATCACAAGCAATGTTGTTCAATCAGCTAATATTACGGTGCTTCTCCTCTCTCCCCACCCTCATTCAATCTTAAAAAATAAATAAAACTTTAGGTCAAGAAGTCAACGCTCCTACAACAAAAAATCACAGGAACAATTTCTGAGTATAGTAGACTCCTTTTTCTAAAGAAAAAGGCAAAGGTTTGCATGAACTGAGATGATGTTTTGCCAGAGGTTACAAGTATTCTCATCTCCCCAGTGTTCATGGGGAACGCTTTTGTGTTGCTGTTCTGCAAGATGACAGACTGTATCAGATCTAGGGTGTTGAAGGTGTGATCCCGGCGTAAGAATCACTTTGGTTGACAGTAACAATAGGACTACTTAGAATAAAAGGATTTATGAGCTACTTGTAACAAACCGGAACAATAATTATTATAGGTCTGTGCTTCCGAATGGAGCTACCCTCTGCACTCTTCCCTGTTTTCCTTCTGGTGCTGAAGCTTCAAGTGTTCCTTCATCTTCAATGTTTGCAAAGTGAAACATTGGCCTTGTGTAACTAAGAAAATATCTGTAGACTCATTCAGGCTGGAAAAACAAAACAAAGCATCCAAACGGAAAAGGCTTGGTATTTATTTTGTTTAAAATTATTGAAATCTAGGTAAGAAATACTTAGCCACAGTTGAATTTGGGGAATTGTGTATGTATATCTTTAAAAAAATTATTTACATACTGTGTGCTCTTGTAAGATCAGTGATAAAACATTTCCACTCTGTAGTTTGCTTTGTGGACAGAAAGCAGCCAGCCTGACTGGTACAGGGTCACCAGCATTAAGTTATAAATTGATGTCCTAAATCATTGCTTCTGTTTGAACCTGAATAATTTTAGTGAAAGTCAGTGACAGTTTAGAGCATTAACATAGGCTTAGATTTGCAGTTTTGAGACGTTTTCTATATTTATACCTGTTTCCGCTGTCCCTCTGGACAAAGGGTAAGCATTATCCCCATGGTAAGAATGGTATGTGCCATGGAGCTGTTTGTCACTGTTTTTTCCAGCGTTTTAATTTAATATTAGCTATGAATTTACTAATATTTGGCCATTGCATAACTGTAACTGACATAATACATCTGAGAATTTTAATTAAGTTGTGATTCATTGGAGTGTTTTTATTTTCAGATTGGACTGAACTAAAAGCTAGCAAGGTGGCCCAGAGAATAGAGGGTAAGCTTAGCGTTTGTAAGGAGGCTTAGAAGCCTTGCGCTATGAAAATGATAAGCAAAAAATACTTGATGCTATAATTTGGATATGTCAAACACTGAAGTGGATAGTAGTCATAAAAGGTCTAAGGAACAGTTGTCTGCCAAAAAGATCATTGGACAATTGCCAGGGTAGGGCTGGGTTTGCCTCACTTAGGTAGAAATGGCATTGGTAAAATACAGCTATCTAACACGGGTACAGTATGGTGTTCTTTGGCTTCCAACTCAGTTTCCTGGTTGCAGTGCGTGGTTCAGTAACTGTGATGGGACTAATTCAGAATGAAATGAAGACAGGTAGAAGGATGCCATGGAAGAACCCTATGTACCTTGTTCATGGAATATGTATGTAATGTCATTTGTTGCCAAAGCCAAAACTAGGAAGCAACTGGCTGCTCACTGTTGTGGAAAAAATGATGGCATGTTGTTTCCTCTCTATTAGGAAGTTAAGTTATTCTTTGGGTTCCCCAAATTCATCAAAAAACTGTATGAAGTTGTTTGAGCAATTTGCTGTAGCAAAGCAGTTGGAATTCATTTCCAGTTCCCTGGCTAATAATTTAAGCCCTGATGGGCACTGGTTGAGGTTTGAATTGAGTCAGAACACCTGCATGGTTCTAACCAGCAGTACCTACGGGTCATTCATTTTTGAATTTTTTAAGCTTTTTGTGTGATAATGAGTTCTAGCATAAAAATAAAGAAGCATTAGTTTTCTGCCAAGTTTCTAAACATGAACACTGTCGATACTTTGAAGAGAGACTTTCAAAGCAGATTTGAAAATTGAAAGGTTTTGCAGAATGAAGAGTGTATCAGACAATGTTCATTTGGTCTTTTTAAAAATGCTGAAGACTGTTCCTAAGGGTTCCCAGCAAACTCTGTCCTTCACAGCCTGGATCCTTCTCCAGCTTAATTCTGCAGAGAAGTCAGAGTCGTGTGCTTATAACACCAGCCTCTGATTATGGAAATCATCATGGAGTAATTAGCACGTTACTGTGACTTCATTTCAAGAAAATGTGGGATTCTAGAATGCTATTTCATTATCTGTCTGCTGGTTCCAGCTGCTTAAGTTTAATACGGAATATGGAATAAGAGCTTTGAAATTTATAGATGCTTATGCCATTTGCCATTTGTATTTGCTAGTGATGGTGATGCTATTATACTCAGTCTTTTTATATTTGGAAGAATATCCTTTCTTTTTCTTTCTAGTCCTACATATTGCAAAGAACATGTAAAAGATAAAACAGTTTTAGGTAAATAAAAGAGGCTTTTTTGGGTTAAAAAAAATCCCTCTTCAAACCTTAACAAGTTCACTGGTAAGGATGGTAAAGTATAAGAGGCTGGAAAGCTGTGTTTGGAAGTTCTGTTCTCGATCTGGTTAGAGATCTAATTTACTGTTCACAAAAAGTGGCACGGCAAACTCTGTATATTCATATAGTAACACGATAGCACATAAGGCACTAAATGTTTCATTTCTAAGGATGATCTTAACAAGAGGGAACCACACATCTACTTTCTGCAGCTGTGAGAATGCTGGGTTTTTCATGTGCTACAAAAGGACTCTGTGGCACGTGCCAAAATGTGTCTTTCTGCTTGGGAATTCAGAGAGAAGATCTGTATGCCTCTGCATCCCCATGTGCAGGAACTCTTTTGCTAATTAATTTTTATTGCCCTATTAAAAGAAAAAAAACAACCTTTTTTTCTAAATTTTGAAGTATCCTGAATTCAAAGCATCTGTTGGTGAATCTGCCAGTTACCAAACTAATCCAATGAGAAGTTGGTATAAGCACAGAAAACTCCATTACAAGCACTTACATCCATTTCCATGACTACCTCATCTGATTCATGGAATACATTTTCCCTTGACATTTGTCTTTAGTCTTTCTTGGTTTGGCATACAGAAGAAACTGGCAAGATGAGAGCTGAGTAATTTCTGTTGGTTAGTTTGCTTTTCCTTTCCTTTGCCAGAGGCCAAAATGTTGACCTCTAGCTTACTTCTTGATTTTCTTTGGAACTAAGTGAAATTTTGCAATTCTTTATCATATATTCTGTTTGAAAAGTGGGTCACACTTCATTACTACAAAATATTCTCTACTACCATGTAATACATATGGTCCTATCAGTGACACTAGGCATGTGATTTAGGAAAGAGAACTTTGCTTTTAGAGGGATTCAGTTGCATAGGTACTGGACTCATGATGCTAAATTTGTGCACTTTTGAGCAGTAAGAGGAATTTCACTGACCCTTTGTAATATAATATACTTGCCATGGTTTGGGACCTGCTTTGTATATGGTAGTTGGAGAGTAACAGCATCACACAAAGGGTATATGTTAGCCCTACACCCAAAGGAGGACTTTCAGAAAGGGTACTCCAACCTCATAGGTCTTTATGTACATTCATAAATGCATAAATTAGTAGATTGATTATCTAAAAGTGCATGCTCCTACCAACTGTTGAAATCAGTGCCTTTGAAATTAGACCATTGAATTAGACCAGGGTTACACAGTTATCTTAGAAAGAGACTTTACTCAGAGCATAACATCTCCTAGTACCCAAACAGCTGGGGCTCTGTTGTATGTTAATTCATGGCTTGAAAGCACATTAGATGGGTTGCACAAGGAAGTCATTGTATATTCAAGTATGCCTGAAGTCACCAGTAGTGTGATGTGGATGGCACTAGGCAGCTGAACTCATTTTTAACTATCTTCCCATCACCACATCTTCCTCTTTTCCAGCTTAACAAGACTCTCTCATTTTTCAGTTCCAGGGGAAAATGGGCACTTTCCACTCTATGCCTTATCTAGCAATTCTTCTCCATTAACAGGTGCCAGTCTCTGAAAAAAGCATATCTTGGCTACAAGCTTTGAAGTGGCGGGATGAAGACCACTTGTGACTTTGAGGTGGGAACATGTTGTGAGCCATGTTTTTGCACCAGCAAAGAAATAAACATCTTCAGAAAAAATTCCAAAAAATGGCACTGTAGGTGTTTTCTGAATATGGACACAAAGCTGAGAGCTGATTAAAAGAAAAACAGTGATATCTGATTGTTAGACGACAAAAGGCAGCAACCAGTTCTCCAGGACCAACTGTAACTGCACTAGAAAGAGATATATAAAATCTCGGGGAACTCCCCCTATACCCTCCAAGCTGACTGCATAATATAACCCCTCTTTTGCGCAGTCCTTCACCACTAACACTGCTGGTCTGTACAAGTGAGGAACGTCTCTAGAGCATCAGTGGGACTCCAAAAAGTAGTTCACCAAGATTGTAGAGCTTCTCCAGAACTATTTGGAGATGTCTAGAGAAAAATACCAGATTTAACGTGCTATAAAAATAAAAATTCAGTACCCTTATGTGGTGGGGCATCTTTTCTCTGTTCCTGTTATGTTTTATCAGGAAATTATTTAAAAAAAAAAAAAAGTCTAGGGACATATGCTACTGTCATCACTGTGCTGCTGTTCATGTATTCCAGTATTTGTAGGCTCTAAATGCTGAGGAAGGGGAAACTGGGAAAGAAATTTTTTGGCAATGCTGACAAAGACTCTATGGTTTTCCAATGTTTTGGCATGAGTTTGACTGCTTGGAGAGTCTGTTATCTCTATGGAGAGTGTCAAATGAATTGAAGCTTATGTTGGAAGAAGTACTGTAAAAATGCTTTTCCAACCGATATGCTCCTTGTTCTCAGATCTCTTGTCTTTAAATGCCAAAAGAGTGTACCCTGAGAGTAAGAAACTTGAGAAGGAAAAGTCATATGGAGTTGCATTGCCTTTTTTAAAAGAGACTCTCCCAGAGCAGAACTGTAGTCTCGTGAGTCCTATTGAAGACTGATGGATAAAAAAGGTACATTAGTGCTAGAAAAATACACATTTCTCTGCCCTTTGTAGTTTGTAGAGCTGGAATATTTTGTCTTGCTTTTATGTTTTCTTGATAGCTTTATTGCCTTGATTCTTTTTTCTTTTGTAATGGCCATTTCTGTCTAGTTTGGAGTAGTTCTTACTCCATAACTTGAGGTTTGTGTTTAGCCTGTTACATCTTATTGCCTTAATTGGAATAAAATGTTGGCACATTTGAACAAATACTCTAAAGGTTCTTTTGAAATGGATGCTCAGCCTCCATGGACCTTTGACATGGCTGTTTTCAGTTTCACTTACAGTAGTCTTGTTATTATCATATATAAAGTAGGCAAAGTGAAATGAGAATTAAGAGAGCAGAAGAAAGACTGAAGGATGAAAATTACATCATTTTGCATTTCCAGTTATATTGTAACTCATGCAGTTCTTATGGACCGCTGCGCCATCTTCCTATGAACGCTTTCCTAAGATTTTCTTCCTAAGGCTTCTTGGAGTTGTTTCTTTCATCCAGGTTGTTTATTTGACTGCTTTAGTGCTGTGTATGATTTAAAAGCAGTAGCTGGAGATTGCTTTGGGTTTCAGTAGAAGCCTCTTCGTATTCAAGTGAAAATTAATGCAGTGTTATATTCAGCAATACCCTACCTTCTTTTTGACCTGAAATGCAGAACTGAATGAATATTGACAAAAGAAACATGAATTTAAAAAAATCACAATAATAATAAATCAGGAAACTTTCATCCTTGGACTTGAGGAAATAGGAGACAAAACTGTGAGTTAGCCACTGTCAGTAGTACTTCAACACAGTTGTCAAATTCATATTTCAATTTCATAATTGATAAAATCCTATGAAATATAGGTGATTCAGGCATGCATAAACTCTTGAACTAGTTACAGGATTTGTTAGTCCATGCAGTCCTAGATAAAATTGTCTCAGGTAAGTAGCCTTTAATTTTGTGTGTAACGCTTCTTACCAAGCGTTTCCATGGATGAGTTTAGTCCTTGTTACAGTTTCTTTCTCTGGGCTTGATGGATGGTTTTAAACAGGAGCACTCCAGAAATTCGGGAATAAAGGTGAGAAATCTCCCAGTCAGAGGATTTCTAGATGCACAGTCAAGTATTTATATTGCTGCTACATTCTGCTATACTCTACTGCTATGTGGAATAAATTTGTCAGGAGGCTGGAAGCCACATTTTTGCCTTTGCAGAGGGTATGGTAGAACTGCAAAAATTCAAGAAAAGTTGTTTGTCACCTCCAGAAGACCACATCACTGACACAGCATCGCCTCACAGAAATCACATTTCTGCCTGGGAGCCAAGAATACTTCTTCCTGTAGCATTGTATACTTAAGAAGCTCTTAACACTAGTGCCACTGAGCATTTTTTTAATCCTTTTTAAGGATGAACTAACAACTCTTAGCTAACACTGTCACACAGCATCTGTACAAGAGCATTTAGTATAGGTCAGCTGAAGCATTGTAACTTCTTCGTATATCGGAGCCCAAAGGGTTGCCACACTGGAACTGGATGTTTTTGAACTGGTCTGGTGTAATGCATGGTATGTGGAAATGCCACGAGAGGACGTGGCCTTGCAAAGAGATTGCTTTGTGGATATCTCTCTGCTTTCTCTGAATGACTAAAGAGAAGGGAGAGCTGTAGGGGCCTGAAGAAGTACTGCTACTTCTCCTTCAGAAAGTCACATTTAAAAAAGAATTTGGCTGCGTGTTTAATAATGTGATCTGGAAACTCCAAACTAGGAAAGGCTGCTGTCCCTGTGTTGTGCCAACCAGTCTGTTTAGAGCACTTGTTTTATCTTTATGATTAGATAAACCAAAGAAATTGGAAAAACCACTGATAAAGTATATTAATATAAAAAGTCATCAGAAAAGAGGCAGAGTTCATAGAACTATGAGCAGTTAGGAAATGATTTGATTTAAAATGACATTTCTGCCCAGAAAGGGAAGAGAAGAAAAGGAGAGGACAAAACTTTTGGGTTGTTGCAACCAATACTGGGTACAGCTATGGACAGAGGATGAAGGGAAGAAACGTAGCATACTGTTTAAATAGAGAATACAAAAGGTAAAACTCAAATGGGTAGATGGGTTGGAAGATATGGCTACCAAAGAGCACAGAGACAGCAGAAAGTTTAATGGAGACCCAGGGATTAGGGAAATGTCTTCTCTATGTTTGTCTTAAATAAAATCACTCACATGGGAACAGCTGCAGTGTGGCACACTATGTTTAAGGTGGTGCACAAGCTTTCTGTAGTGAATTTATAAAGTTTGTTGAAAACAAGATCATTGGAGAGAAGAGCAGGAGGAACAGGAGTGACTAATGGGAAAAGTTGAAGGAAAAAAAGCCATTGAAAGGTATTATTGCCTAAACTATCAATAATCCTCAGAGGATTAATTTTGAAATGCCTTGGCAAGAGAGCTCTTACTCTGTTTCTGAACAGTGCTATATTTTATCTGTGGGCTCAGGAGAGGATGGAAGGATTGTTGTGTGCTCTGTGCTTTTATCTTCCCCAAATAACTGCCTCTGAGAGACAGGACTGGACTAGAGGGGCCTTTGATGCCACCTTGTTGCTACAGCATGCAGGAGATCTGTATGGCTTGTGGCATCTTCATCCAAGTTAGGTAATAAATTGTCCAGGCTTTATTGGTTCTCTCAAGTGGAAAAACAGGTTGTGCATGAGAACTTTGGAGAGACAGAAATGGAGGAAATTGGGGCTGACACAGTTGGAGGGGTGTTTGTTACCACTCTTCCCAAAATACCAGTGTCCTGCAGGTTCATGCAGAGAAGACATGACTTTTTCACTGACAGTGGTAGAGGGAGAAAATGGAGATTTCACAATTAGCTTCGGTCCTTAGCTTTTAGAGCTAAAGGCACCATAAAGAGCAGTGTGGGAGATTTGGAACAGAGCTTTACTTTGGTGATCACGAAGGCTGGAGAGACATCTCTTACTTTCCCCTGTGAATGCAGAGGCTTTGTTTTTTGGAGGAAGAAGCCAATTTGTGTTTGAGGGGTTGCAGGGGGTGAATAGGGTGTCAGCAACTTATAGCAGCCCTTTAAATGATTATTCTTGATGGGTGAGCTGCAAAATGGTTAACTGATGTGTCCGTAGATTTCATACCCATGAAGTGGACAGGAAAAGGCTGCGTGTCTAGTAGAGCTGTATTTTTTCCAAGCTGTTTGCAGACAGAGATGATACTGCATTGTTTACCCTGTGTTTTTTTCCGGAAGGTTATTACAAAATCGGAGCTGGAAGTCAGTTCTTTGAAAAGCATGTTTGATTCTGGCATAGAAATCTGCAATGAGCTTTGAATTCTACAGCAGATCCTGATACCACTGATACCACAAAATAAGATCATGAGCATAAAGATCAGAGAGGATGGTTACTTCCCAGGAATGCCTATATTTCATTTCTGTGCTGTAATCTATTACAGTAATTTCCTGAAATCCTAATATTTATAATGGCTTTAACAAACTTCCGAAGAAGTCCCAGTAGAGAGCACCTTTTCTTATGAAGTTAAGCTCGGTCTTTTCTCTGCATGTCTCATGTGACTAGGAAGCTCTGATGCTTGCCAGTTTTCATCCCTCTGGTAATTTTGTAAAGTGTAATCATTGTAAAGTGCAATTGCTTAATATGTAGCTCATTCATTCACTAAAAGCCCCAAGGATAGAGGCAATGAGTAATGTGAGTCATTGCCAGAGCAATGATATCTAAAAAGATGAAGAGTCATGCCATACATTAAGTACCAATCAATTTAGTTGTGAATTAAGTATTTAAAAAATCACTAGTTAGATGTGGTTGGTATTATTTCAGGGCAAATTAGTTAGCCTGGAATCCTGTGCTGCTACTAATGTTCTTCTCTTCTGGCATCAGTTATGTGTTCTCTGCAGTTTTGTTTGCCTGTCGAGATACTTGCAGACTAGCAGCTTTCCTGGTTGCCTTCTACATCTCCCTTTCCTTTCCAGGCACTACATGCCTTCTTGCCTGAAATTCAGAAATTTTATCCAGAAAATATGAAGACCTGTTCTGGCTTGATCAGCAATGTTAGGATTCAAACTGATGTCTTTCAGTCACATTTATTTTTATTAAGCCATCCAAGTTTCAAGCATTTTTACCTTTCTTTGTACTAAATCCTGTTAGCTGGAATAGATTTCCTTTCCATCTTCTTGCTAATGCAAGTTGGTGCAATTACATATAGCTCATTAGCCAGTCAAATTTTAAATGACTGGAGTGCTAAGGTTTCCATCATCATTCTGAGAGGGTAGTTTTGCAGATTAGTAGGTGATAGGATCCGTGATCGTTTTTGTGTGCTTTTTTGAGAGCCTGAACTGGCTAAATGCTACAGCAGGACACAACAGTGTGTGGCAGCCTGAGGGGCAGCAAGGTTTAACACGGGTGAAATGATGTATGCACACTGATAAATCAGGAGTTTTGCTTCCAAGCTTTTCTGTGGAAGTGAAATTAACTGGCTTCCTGAATTACAAGGGGGGAGGAGGAGAAAAAATAAGATGGGGGTGGGGGGGCTGAATGGGCTGAATGTATTTGTGTTAGCGTAGCTCCCTTGAAGTCAACAGAATTAGGCAGCATTACACTATCACTAGAGATCTTCTATTAGGTGTATTTTAATAACTATCAGTGATGATTTTAGGCACATGAGATAATACACAGATTAATACACCAGTAATAGTCAGTGGCTTTGGTCATGGACTTCATTTATAAGGTATTGTTCTCCAAAGTCATCTTTAACTTGTGCATGAAAGCCAGACCGCAACCTTCTAAAGTGACTTGATTTGTCTTAAAATAAGGGTTATAAACTACAGACTGTACTACATTGTGTGTTCCCCATCTAATAATAATCCAGGAAATGTGACAGCAGACCACCGGTAATTTTTAGATTACATTTGGGTATGCTGATTTTTATTGTACAGGGGTATGAATTATCCAGTTCTCCATGTTAATCTTTATGTGTGTCTTTATACTAAAGTCTCACATCTTTTGGATACGACCTTAATTCTGCACTTTCTGTGACTGTTGACAGCCCCTGAAATACTGAAAAGGCCAGGTGGCTATTTCTCCTCCTTCTGCCCCGTACATTTTTTGCGTTATACTTGTGATTGCTCACCACGCCTAGAATCAGTGCAACACATAGCAGGTACCTCGGAGGCTCTCTGTTTTTAAATAAGATTTTATTGTGTTGTAATACAGTAGCATTGCATAGGAACAGATAAGATGTTTATGTTGGTAGCCTATGACCTTCTGGGATACTGCCACTTCATGTAAAGATCCCAGAACACACTGAAAGTAGTAATATGTTTGTGAAATTCATTACAGGACTACGTTTTATCAGTGACCTGATCCACTTTGTTGTAGGTTGAATAACTTGAATGGAAAAGGCTATAGATCAAACTTGGCAATGTCAAATATCAAAGAGGTTGGCACAGTAAGCAAACAAAACTGTTATACCAGATCAGAAGTTTTTAGATCAGTGGTCTAGAAAAAGTATACATTTCACAGCAGGAACAATCTGTAAGATATTCCTTTTCTATACTTGTGTTGAGACTTGGTTGTCACCCTTAAGCATAGGTATACAAAACCATAGGGGTGTTAGACTATATCAAAAGCCATGACTGCTACCCTATCTTCCCCCGACTCAGTTTGGTTGAGATGAGAATACCTGAACAGGTAAGCTGTGAGAAGCAAAATTTGAGGATTAAACTACTACATTCCCTGAAGGAAGCCGCACACGAGCAGACTATTTTGGAAACTATGACAAGGAAACTGTGCTTTTAAAGGCAGGGTTTAGGAAGCCAAAAGAAGTTGCCTAATTATTAAGAGGTAAGTTTGCAGGTTTGTGCCGGGTTATAGGACATCTAGAGCTTAGGTCATACGGTGGCAGCTCTTTCGTTTGGAATAAATTTAGCTTCCATGACTGCATTCATGTGCTCATGGCCTTAGCCAAGGAAATGATAAAACTGTAAAACATGTCCCCTCAAAAATCAAAATTGATGCTATATCCAGCAATCACTTCTGCTGTCTGTTCTCCTGCCCCAACCAGAAGAACAATTTCTATGGAACAGAACTGTAGGAAGAGATGTGCAGCAGGTAGACACTAAGGCAATAGGTGGAGATTTTACATAGTATCTATCACATTACTTTCAGACCAATGCACATTTTCCACTATTGAAAATAATAAATCAGGAAAAAATGATGCATGTAGCTATAAGATTTATTGTCCATCAATAATTGCAGTGGTTAATTGTCAACTCACTGTTCTGTCAATCAATCAAAACCAACAATAAAATGTAGAATCCTTTGTTCCTGTAAATTTGTACATGATCAATTTTTTTTTTTTGTGGAAAAAAGTAGTTGGCTGGTCCAACGTTACGATTTGTCTTGTGAATGTTACTTTTGTTTTAATCAGTCTAAGTTGAAATATTGAGATTTTTTCTTAACCGAGCAACGTTTTGTGATTGCTTGCTAGTAGCATTATAGCGTAAGTAAAAACAAACAAAAAAAAAATCACATAATAAAAATGCCACAAAAGAGTTAAGCCCTTCCCGTTCAAAACTAACTTTCCTGATGCTAGCATCTCAGCTAAGCATTTTCTCTCCATAAGAGTTTCTGTATGAGGAGATATTAATGATAGGGAAAGGAGTCATTCTCTGTCTCCAGCTTTACCCATTCCTACAGTTCGAATTGTTCCTGCTTTAGGTGATAATGGGCAACCATCCACCAAGTTGAGATGGCACACAATTGTCCTTTAGGCTCAAAGTGCCTAAATGTGCCAGGATTAATTTGAAAGTTTTAGACTGATTTGTGTTTCCTAACTGGGAGAGTGATATATTAATAAGCAGAGGTGAGGCTTGAATAATATTTAATAAATATAAATCTCCAACAGAGATTTCTTTGGCTTAAGAATGACTTTTTATGGTTCATTTCAGTGGATCTCTAGCAGGTTTGCTAATCTGACATGTGTCTAGATGGGTTTAATACTGATTTATTGTTTTAATAATGGATAGAAGTCAAGCTGGTGCAACTTCCCCACATCAGGCAATTTCATTGCAGTGGGATAAACCCCTCTCCATGAATATTTCTCATTTGAAACATTTCAGCAATTTGGATATGATAATTCCTTGGAAATACAAGCTTTATCAATATAAACCAGGATTAAACTACTCTGAGTCTTTCCATCAATGCAAACAAGAGTGTTTATCAGGATCTTACATAAATAGGAGCAGCTTTGTGCATGAATTGGATAGTGTGGTTTAAATTGTCTCACTGCAGTTTAGCATGGCTTAGTTAAACGGGCAGGTGCGAGCTGAATAAATACAACCAATGTTAAATTCCTACAAAAGAGTCCACATACAAATTGCACTGGAATAACTGAATTTAATTTCAAACCAGCCCAAACAAGCCTTAAGCTTCCATAGCAGAGTTTTCACTAGTATCAGTAAATAGGCTTTATAACACAGTTTAGTGAGCGAATACGACTCAGTACAATCAATGAGTTAGATCAGTTTACTCATGTAACCTGGCTCATAGCTTAGGCTCAGTTCACATGCTTAGTAATGGATCTGGTAACATTGATCCTGCAGAAATTAGGTCTGTTTGCCCACTTTCTATTTCAATGCCAAGGTCATGTACTGGCTTGCCTTAAGGCAGTCTAACGTAGACTGGTAACCAGTCTTTCAACGTCCAGTTGCCGCTCGTGCTCTCACCTCAAGCATATGCGATTACACATTCAACGAGGGCTATATTATACTGTCTTATTACAAGGACTCGAGGAAAAGAAAGTTTTCTCTGCACAGTGGGATGTACTGTAGTGGCCTGCAGGGACTGAAGTTTTCTCCACAGTCGCTGGCAGTTCTGACCTGCTGGGGATGATGAAGCCTTGCTTAGATCTGGCCGTTCTTGGTTAAAGGTATGTGACTGTTCTTTTTTGGTCCTTAGTGACTGAAATGCTTTGTAGGTCTGTCTGCACCTTGCTGCTCCAGGGTGTTGCCATATGCTTGCTACCCCTGCTTCAGGATACCAAATATTTGGGTTCATCAGGCTGCAGTTTCATAAGCTTGTCCACGCAGAGCAAGATGAGAGTCAGAAACCAGAGGCTCCAGCCGACAGCAGCTGCAATCCATCCGTAATCGTCCACACCTGTCGGGCAACATATGGCAGCTTGTGTGCAGAAGTTCATGCCTGGCAGCAAAGAAATGGAAGTGAGCTGATGTGATGCACAGCAGGCTTTTCTTTGCTGGAAGGTGAATGGGGCAGTGACTTTCCTGTCTGCCCAGTGGCCTGTCACTCTGCCTTTGCATCTTTCCCCTAAACCTGGTTCTTATCCTGGCGGATAGCAAAATTCAGCTTCTAACTGTGTGTCTTCAGGATGGGTCATCTGTCCTCCCTGGTTGGTCGAACACCTGAGCTGGTCCGCTCATCACTGCCCACCATTACTGAACTCTTTTAAAACACCTACTTAGCATCTGCTTAGGCAATTTTAGGAATGGAATGTGGTGAAAGTAGCTAGTTACAATTAAAAATAAATGTGGGGAAGAGAAAGAGTTTCATGTGTGAGAGTAAGAGGATCTCAGAGAAACACGTTCAATGGAAGCCGTGGCTGCTCTGTGCTGGGCTGTGAACTGTGACTTCCTTGTGTTTTGCAGTAGTTACACATGCCACCAGTGGGACTCCCTGCTTTCCATGGTTAAAAATGAAATAATTGTTAACAATGGCATATATTTTTTTCTTGTATCTTTTGCATCTTTTTTGTTTTTCAAGTTTCTACAGTCAGTTAAGGAATATGTCATTAGTTGTGCCTGTTGCTCAGGCACTGTAAAGAGCAGTTTCACAGCAGAGGGTAAATGTCTTGCATTTATCTAGAGAAGGGACAGAGGATGCCTGTCTCCTCTCATCTATGTCATGCTTTGAGGTGGCACGCTTCTCTTGGTACTCTGGGAAGTGCTGGCGCTTGGGGGTGTTTGGCATTTAGGATGGAGGATGACTCCGGGAGGGCTGGTGGGATCTCAGATTACTTACGGTTGGCTGTTTGGGGAAGGCCTGGTGGGTGAGGGAGAAAGGTGCTCCTAGGAGTCCCCATTTGTGCATATGGACATCTAGCCTGGCAGGGAGCATTAGGATACACAAACCGACTGAGCTATGAATTAGTCTAATCAAAGCTACAAGTCCACCTGAATGTACCTTGGATATAATGGGCATACCAGTGGAGAAGTCTTAAAAATGGATCCTAGTGTTTCATCCACAACTGAAACTTTCAGTTAAGTGCATGATAATGGGTAAATCTTTTCCAGAGCAGCCTCTCAACGACCTTTGTAGTCTCGATACCTGGCTTTATCATGGTTGTCATGACTTAAGAAGACTTACTAAGGCATGGTGGTTCATACTCGGTCGTGGGCTTGGAGCTTGTTGAAACATTGGAGCCTTCTTCAGCTCAGGAGAAAGCAGAGGAGAAAAGACAAATTGGATTAGAAAGGCAAAACCAGAGATTGACATGAAAAGCTAAAAGCTGTGGGCCTTGCAGGGAGGGATCTGTGTGGCAGCCTGATGGAAAACAACTTTGAGAAAAACAAGCTCCACCCCCAAATGTAGTGGCATCAAAGTAAGCTTCCCTCACCCTACTGCTGTCAACAGGGGCTTAGAGACACCTGCGCTGACATCAGCAACAACAAGTGGTTAAATCACTGTGCCTTTGCTTGAGTATGACCCTGGTGCGAGCTGTTCACTCAGAGCCCACATTAGCCCCCCTCCTTTCCAAGAGAGCTCCCAGTCTACATGGGCAGAATCAGCAAGGACTGAAATGAGAGAAAGCATCCAGTGGCATGGGCTGATCCGTGACCAGTGAGTTGTACGTCCACGTCTTCTTGTCCTTAGAAAAATCCCCATGGCTTCCAAGGTGCAAAGGAAGCTGGCAGAGCTGAGAACTGAGCCTACCAGCGCTGCATCTCAGCAAATTCACCACAGGCTCTTTGTGAAGCCTAACCTCACAGGTAGGAGGTTGAACCAATCTAATTCTTGGCCTTGTTGAAGTCCTCTTGTTCCAGGGACCAAGCAGAGGTTATGAGAGAGCGCCATTTCCAGTCAAACCATCATTCTCAGCGGCAAACAGGGAGTGTAATAGAGATAGAAATTCAGTTCCAGCTTGATTTCACTGAAGTCTTCAAAATAAATCATTCAGGTTTAGTTTCAGCTCAAGATAACAAAGCAGTACAAGACCTTTGCACAGCCTTTTGATTTGAGTAATAGTAAATAAACTGATGCTGTCCTGCAAGAGACGTCCCCCTCGGGTTTACCTGTTGTTGTTCAGATTTCCATTTTGAGCTGACTGAGTGACAGCAAGACTGTTGCTGTCACGCTGGGAGTGGATTCCCATACAGCCCACTTTAGGGTAGCATATGAATACTTCTCATTCCCCTTTCTTTCTCACCTAGGACTTGCTGTATGACCTTGGCCGAGTCCATTCAGTGTGAGCTTATGTTTTTTTTCTAAGTTAATAAATACCTCACAGGAGCACTGGGAAGAAACATTAAAAACTGTGCAAGATTGTGCATGACCTGTGGAGGAAAGTGCTGTAGAACAGAGTCTTGGTTCATGTTTATAGACTTTGCAGCCCAAAGGACAGACTGTCAAAGCAAACCCATCAAACAGTTTGGCAGTTGACAAGCGGTGCTGATACACAAGTGCAGGCAGTGTCCAGATGGGAAAAGAGCAGCTCAAGGGTCTCATTTACCTTTTGTTTTTAGGAAGCTTCTCTAATTAAGAGGGTAGTAGAGCCAGATTTCCTGCAAAAAGCACCTAATAAGAGCTAAACCAGATTATACGAAGCCTCTTGAGTGGTATTTCAGAATGGTCCCTGCCTCAGCTAGCATGCGGAAGCCAAGAAATTGGTCTGTGACTGTAATCTGTCTCCTTGCAATTCAGTAGAGCAAACTGCAGCTCAATCACACTTATAGCTGATCTGTAAACCTCTGGTAAAACATAGTCTCTACAGAAAGATGCTGTAATCGATCGCATTAAGTAATTCTCATGAACAGCATTCAGTTCCAGCTCTTTGTGTTTTTTAGATGAGACAAGGAAGCCCACCTTGTTTTTAAAGAATAAATTACTGTCAATAGGCAATAGAGAGAAGAGTGAGGGAAAAGGCAAGGTACAGGGGTGTGAGAAAAGAGAAATACCTGCTGAGGAAGAATACAGGAGACTGGCGGTGACCAAGAACATGGCAAGCACTGCCCAGGACGTGCTGGTGAAATGCTTCATGCCAGGGGTCCAGGTGCCACCTGAGCGGCTGTGCGGATCAGTTCCTTGTTGCTGGCAGCTCTGGTTCGGTAGATCCTCGATAAGTTTCGTAGCCGGGTGTTTGGGACGGAGGGTGGAGCAAAGGAGCTTCCTGCTGCCAGGACACCTTGAACTTTCCTATCACAACGGGGTGAGGAAAGAGCAGGGCTCCGAGCACAACAGCCCAGCCACCTGGCAGGCTCCAGCAGGAGGTGGATACCAACAGTGAGGCAGGCGGAGGTCCCCTGAAGGGCAGCCCTGAAGTTGTCTACCCAGGATCTACTTCAGCCTGAAAGAAGAAAGGCCTCTGAGAGCCAGCGTTTCCTGGCAGGGCCCCAGGTGGCTGCGCTCTGTTGCACTCCTGTTTGATCTTGTGTAGGTGGTCTGAAAGAGCTGGGTAAGAAGCCGAGGATGGGGTAGAGAATTTTTCTCCCAA